TTTTCCTGTTCTCTATTTCATGTATTTCCTCTCTAATCTTTATTATTTTCTCCCTTCTTCTAACTTTGGGATCATTTTATTATTCTTTTTCTACTTTTTCTGCTAACTTTGGTCTCAATTTGTTCTACTTTTTCTAAAGATAGGACTTGTTTTTTAATTCAGTCAGCTATCTTATGTCTTTTGATTGGAGCATTTAGTCCATTGACATCTAAAGTAACTATTGATAGGTATGTACTTATTGCCATTTTATCACTTATTGATAGATATGTACTTATTGTCATTTTATCACTTATTTTCTGGTTGCTTTTGTAGTTCTTCTCTGTTGTTTTCTTCTGTCAGTTTCTTCCCTGTGAATTGATGATTTTCTTTAATTGAATGCTGTGTTCCTTTCTAGTTTTTGTGTATCTGTTGTAGGTTTTTGATTTATGGTTACCATGGGGTTCATATATGTTGACCTGTAACTATATCTATTTGTTTAAAATGGGTAGTCCTTTAAATTCAAACACATTCTAAAATATCTACACTTTTTACTCCCCTCCCACACATATTGGTTTTTTTTTGTGTGTGTGTGGTATGCGGGCCTCTCACTGTTGTGGCCTCTCCCTCTGCGGAGCACAGGCTCCGGATGCACAGGCTCAGTGGCCATGGCTCACAGGCCCAGCCGCTCCGCGGCATGTGGGATCCTCCCAGACCGGGGCATGAACCCGCGTCCCCTGCATCGGCAGGCGGACTCTCAACCACTGCGCCACCAGGGAAGCCCCACATATTGTTTTTGATGTCATATATTACATCTTCATGTGTATCCTTTACTGACTATTGTAGTGATAGTTGATTTTACAATTTTTTGTTTTTAAATATTTGTACTAGCTTATTTAAGTGGTTGATTTTCATCCTTTACTATGTATTTGCCTTAACTAGTGGGATTTTTCCTTTATAGATTCTTTCTTCTTGTTATAACCTTTTCTTTTCCACTTAGAAAAAGATTCTTTAACATTTCTTTTAGGGTAGGTTTAGTATTAATGAACTCTTTTTGTTTTTGCTTGTCTGAGAAGTTATCTTTCCACTTCTAAATGATAGTCATGCTGGGTAGTGTGTCCTAGGTTGCAGTTTTCCCCTTTCAGCACTTTGAATATATCATGCTACTCCCTTCTGGCCTGTAATTTTTCTGCATAAAAATCAGCTGATAGCCTTATGAGGCTATCAGCTGATTTTTGAGGGTTCCCTTGTATATGATGCTTTGTTTTTGTCTTGCTACCTTTAGAATTCTCTCTTTAACTTTTGTCATTTTAATTATGATATGTCCTGGTGTGGGTCTGTTTGGGTTCATCTTGTTTGGGACCCACTGTACTTACTGTACCTGGATATCTATTTCCTTCTTCATGTTTGGGAAGTTTTCAGTCATAATTTCATCAAATACATTTTCAACTCTCTTCTCTCTTTTTCTCAGATCCCTATAATGAAAATGTTGGTTTTTCTTTTAGTTTGTTTTTCATTTCAGTTACTGTATTCTCCAGTTCTGGTTGGTTCTTTTTTTATATTTCTAGTTCCTTGTTAAAATTTTCACTTTATTAATCTATAATTTTCTCTAATTCATTTAGCATTCTTATTACTAATGGTTTGAACTCTTTATCTGGTAAATTATTTCTTTCTGTTTCATTGGTTGTTTTTCAGGGGTTTTCTCTTGCCTTTTCAATTGAAACAAAATTCCTTTATCTTCTCATTTTGCTTAACTTTCTCTGTCTCTATGAAATTAGGTGAAACACTAACTTATTACAGTCCTGAAAGAATGTCCTTGTGTGGAAGCATTTCTCTACAGTCTGTGTGTGCCCAGTGGCCTTGATGGGAGAGTTAGATCTGACAATACTAGTCACATCTTTCCTCAAGGTGTGCTTCCAGCTATTACCTTAGTAGGAGGTGGGGCTGGAGAAGGAGTGGCTAGGTCCAGAGCCATGAGTGAGCTGGGGCTTTTCCTCTGCTCAGTGGCTGTCACCACCCTGTTGGGGGAATGGGCCTGTCCCAAGCTGCTGGAGCAGAAGCCCTGGGGGTCATGTTCAAGCCAGCTCTGTCTGTTCCCATTAAATATTTGCTCTTCCCACACCCAGCACCGGCACTCTCACCCCAGAGGGAAGCAATGATGGGGCAAGAGTGCCTAGCATGTGGGGTTGGTGTGGGTTGGGGCATAAGCTCTGGTGGTCCGGCCTTGGCAGGGACCTGGACTGTTTCCAATGCACTGCCTGTGTGAGCACCAGTAATGGTTGCTCCTGCTTTGCTCAGTTGCTGCTTTGTGTCTGAGTGTCCTTTGTCCCTCAGCCACAGAGCCCTTTCCCCGGTGTGGAGCTGCATCATGAGTGACCACTCTCCTTAGGTTGGTACACAGGCTAGGGCAGTTCCAGGAAATCAGCCAGCCACCCTGCAGTCTCAATCCACCCCCTCTGCACTGTTTCGGGAGCAAGGGAGTTTGTGCATACTCCTCACAAGCAGGCTTCCCTCAGCCCTGCTGTTAGTCCCACCGGCCCTGGAACTAGACAAGTGGGCTTGCCTTCCTAGTGTCGGACCCCAGGGCTGGGGTGCTCAATATGTGGCTCAAACTGCTTATTCCTCAGGGAGATTCTCCACCTGTGTAGTATCTCTTTTTCTCTGAGTCTCCTCAGAGATCAGGTCCTGACCTGATCACATTTCTTCCTTCCTACCTGATTCTGTGGGGATCTTTCTCACAGCTTTGGTTGTACAGGAATATTTCTTCCAGTCTCTGCTTACTTTTCAGTGAGGATTGTTCCACATGTAGATGTATTTTTGATGTGTTCATTGGGGGGAGGTCATTTCCACATCCTCCTACTTCACCATCTTGATCTTCTCTGATCTCAAAGCCACTCTTCTGCTTAAAACTCTGCAGTGACTGTCCATCCCAGTGACCTTCCTGTTCTTCAGACATGCCAAGTGTGTTCTTGCCTCCCTAAGCATACTTCCACCTGGCCTTTTGTACTTGTCATTTGCTTTACTAGAATGTTTTTCTGAGATTCTCACTATAACTTGTTTCCTCTTAGCAATACTATCCCAATCCAGCCTATGTGAAAAGCAATTAACTTATTATATATTTAGTGTTTTATTTCTATATTATCTAACTCTACTTATTAGAGAATATAACATTCATGGTATTACAGACTTTCTTCTCTTCAGAGAGCACATAGTGGTCATTTTCAAAATACTACTTTTTCCTTGAAAATCCATTATTTTCTTTTCTTTTCTTTTAGCAGTTGAGTAACTACTAGAGATTTTGTTAACCAATTTTATTTGCAGCTAAGTGTGTTTATCTATGTTTTTGTTAGATTTGTAAGTGAACAGAATTAATGACCACAACTGCTGCTTCAAATACTTAAATGGTAATTGTACCCCCTTTGTTTTCATGCCTTTCCCTTCCCATGGGCTGGAATGCATTAGTCATGTGGGTTAATGACAGTGTCTTTGAGTATGGTGAGGCAAGATTGAATTATTTTATGGAGCAGCGCTGCTCCACCAGTGTAGACTGCATGTGAGAAAAGTAAAATTCTGTCTTATTTGAACCATTATAAGTTTTATTTTCAATATATTTCACCCTAGCTAATTTGTAGATCATCAGTGAAAATATTTGAATGAAGGAATGAACAGGTGGAGCCCACTTAAAAAATCTGAGAAATGGAAAAATTGCTTTCCTTGGTCAATATTGTTTTTCTTTTGCTATTTAATAATAATGGTAACAGTAAAGTTCCTACCTGTTTCATCATTTTAGTTCAAATGATTTTGCTCTTTTATCACATATAATGAATATTATTGGCTTTTGGTAATCTGTCTCCATGATATTGAAGTAGTTTACTTTGATATCCTCTGTTACAAAAAATTTAAAATAAAGATTGGCTGCTGAATTTTATCCAATGCCTTTCTTCATCCATCTATATACTCTTACATTTTTCTCTTCATTAAATTGTTTATGTAATGAGCTTTGTAATATCTGGTCATAGTCTTATTATTCTTTGCTTACATTGCTGGATTCTTTTTATTAGTATTTAGAATTTTTGCATCTGTATTCAAAGATTATATTGGTATATGGTTTTCTTCTTATTGCCTTATTGGACTGAGTAGGACTTTGAGTACAATGTTGAATAGATTGGGTGAGAGATGTTACCCTTCCCTTGTTTTTGATCTTACAGAGCTAACATTTAGTATTTTACTATTGTGATATTAGTTTATTGATGCCATTTATCTAGTAATATTTTGAATACATTAGGTTAAATAAAACGTAATACAGTCATTGCTTGCTATCTGCAAGAGATTGGTTCCAGGACCTGCTGCAGATACCAAAATGTTCAGATGCTCTAGTCCTTTACACTTGTCCCTGTGTACTTGCGGGTTCCGCAGTGTGGTGAGTTCAACCAATAACAGATAGTATAGTACTATTTTTATTGAAAAAAATTCATATATAAATGAACTCATGCAGTTCACACTTGTGTTGTTCAAGGGTCAAATGTATTAAAATTAATTTCACCTATTTCTTTTTACTTTTTTCTTAGTGTGGCTGATCGAAAATTTTAAGTTACTTTATGGCATACATTATATTCTCTTGGACAGTACTGCTGTAAAGTAGTTTTCCTAGGTGGAAATAAGAAGTTATTTCTTCACTGGAGAAGAAAGATAAAAAGAGTTTATATTGGTTAACATATTTCTATAGATAATTTAGTCATGTTCTCTCTGACATTATATTATAAAATGCATAGCCAGATGTAGTTACAGAATTGTTTGTGCATTCATGTCCCCAGAGATTTCTCAGCACTCATTCATCCCTTGATGAATGTTGATGAGCCAGCCCTAATGCCTAGTTTTATATAGTAATAATATGAAAACAAATATTACGTTAAGTTTACCACTATGTTTTGTAAGATGTAAGTGAACTCATAAGTAGTTTTCTTTCTTTTTTTTTTTTTGCAAAAAAACTAAATGACAGTTCTCCCCCCCACCTTTATATTCAGCCACTTGTTCTTGTATAAAAAACATCAGGAAAAAACTATTAGTGAAAGTGAAAAAAAAAGGATTTACAAACACAAAGGATTTGAAGATAAGCTCTTTAAGGATCTCTTATTTCAGCCTGGAACCAATATAACAGAAAAACTTGCACGTTGGAAACATGTAAGTATAATTATTTTATTACTTTTCTTTGAAATATTTTTAAGACACTATAGTTATAGTTTGTATTGTATTAGTAATAATTTCTTTAATCTCTTTTAAATGTCTTCTATTGTTAATATTATGCTTGAGATTTTCTTGATGTGATAAAAGTCATATAATGTAGTATAAATGTAATTTTTGTGGTGTATTAATCACTCTTAACAGAACCATTTTATAATTTATGCTTTATATATGTTTTCTCTTATTAATTATTGAAAGTAGTTATAAATAGTAATATAAAATATATTCTCAGTAGCTGAAAACATAAAGAAATATTTAGTTTATTAAAGGCTGATAATTGTACGTATAGTATAATATTCACTCAGTATTTTGTGCAAAGTCATCTATTGCTTTAAGGACACAATAAAAATAGAAAGAAATGTATATTTATTGAGTACCTACTATGTACCAGGCACTGTGCTAGATATTTTGCATGTGGTATGTAATTTATTTTTCACAATACTGTAAGATAGGTATTTTTACCTCTTTTTTTATGATTAGGGAAACTAAGGCTCATAGTGGTTGATTAATTTACCAAAAGCCAAACAGTTAAGTGACATTGGTAGGACTTAACTCGAGATCATCTGACTCCAAATTTTGTGCTTTTTTTATTTTTAGAATTTTGTTTTGCTTTTACCATTAGGTAATGGTAAAAATGAAAACTTGGCATTATAGTATAATTAACTGGAATGAACTTTTTATAATTTATAAAGCACTGTGTTTGTCTGTAAACTCCTTCATATTTGCACCTGTACCTGAATAGCCTGAGCTACAAATGTTTCCATTACATTAACATAATTAAAAGGGATTACAAACTGTCCAGACTGACATTAGTCTGATTTCAATGTAATTGAGGACACATGTTCTAGATATAGTACAGTAATGTCCTCAAGCCCTTAAATCCCACCAAAGTTTATCCGTTGAATAAAAACATAGGTTTAAAAGGCAAATGTATCTTATGCAAAACTTTTTCCTCATTAGCATGCAGTGCCAACTGTATTAATTTGCTCCAGATGATAGTATGCTCTATAAAGTTTATGTGAAGTGTATTTTGCCCTCTTTGTAGAATATAAACATGTTGATTTCAGGCATGTCACCTGCTTTTTATAAGCTTTATATAGAGAAGACTTTCACTGATGTATACTGATATCCAAGTTGGATAGGGGTATGTTGTATACTGATAACCAATTTGGATATACTGATAGCCAACACCCATATATAAATGTAGATGTATATATACATATCCATATATATGTATATTTGTATATATGTTGTGTTATGGCAAGTGACCATTATATATACATAAATAGGAAAAATATATATTATAAACATTATGTTATTTAATACTTATGAAGTTACATGTAATATACCATTTCAAGATTTTGGAAGTACTTTGAATGTTATAAATCTTTTGCTAAAATATATTAATTATAAGGAGTTTTCTAAAGCTCTTTGATATTAGTAATTCTACTAACCACATCACTACTAATGTCATTTATTAAAAATTATTCTTTCATAGTCTATAAATATGTACATTTTCCTATGCTTTTTTCATTGTTTATAGCTACCATTCATACAACATTGTGAAGTCTTCAAAGCTCACTTTCTTATAGTAACTGAAATAATTTTTCATTGTAAGATTCATCTTTGAATCTATTTCTTCTATATATAATTGTCATTCCCTCTTCTGCTAGCTTCATTTTTAGTCTTCTCTTCAGCCCACTCAGTTGATATATTATTCTTTTATTATTTTTACTACTCACATGTCTAGTCTTTAGTGACTTGGGGCTTGGTTTATTAGAAGCTATAGTGAGAACAGTTAATACTATAGAATACCTAAGAGAACCTAGGATCCAGAAAACATTAAAAGAGTTAGGGAGTAGGGAAAAGGCTTGAGAAAA